CCCTTCCCCAACTCCTCCTGTATCCTTCCTACCTCCCACGACCCAAAACCATGCATGCCCTTTCTCTCTCTCTCTTGCTAAATTAAAAAAACTGACAATGAAACATATACAAACCACCCCTCCAAAACACAAAAAAGGGAAACCAAAATATACAAGCAAAAGATCAACAAGACAAAAATGGCCAAAGGAAGCAAAATGAGGCCAAAAGTCTATAAACAATATCATTGACTTGTTTTATGTTGGCCAACTCCTGCTACACATAGGGCCTACCTAAAAATTGATTAACATAGATAGTGAGACCCCATTGCAGAAAACGAATTTTCCCTTTGCCGGCAGGTATACGTTGCAAATAGCTTCTTGGTTAGGTGTGGGAGTGCGTCTCTACTTCTGCCTCTTAGAACTGCCTCCCCCATCTGGTTTGAACCTCTATATGGCAGGCCCTGTGTGGTTTGCCACTGCCTCTGTGCGGTCATATGAATATTGGCCCAGTTGTGCATGGAGGACAGTTTTCTTGGAGTCCTCCATCGCCTATGGCTCTTACAAACTTTCTGCCCCCTCTTCTCCATAGATCCCTGAGTTCTGAGGAGAGAGGTTTGACCAAGAAATCCCATTTAGAATTGAGTACATATTCCAATGTCTCTGACTCTCCGACTGTTGTCCATTGTGGGTCTTTGTGTTAGTTCTCATCCACCGAAGGAGGAAGCCTCTCTGATGATGCTGGCTCTGCGGAGGACAGAGACAAAGTGCTGGTGGAAGGAGAAACTCCAGGTCACATGGTAGCTGTGGTGTTCCAACAAGAGGGTGCTGCTAATCACAACGTAAGGGGTCGGGAACTCACTGGCCTTTTGAATTGCTTTGGAAATCTTTGAAAAAGGAAATGACAGGGTCAGGCTAGCTAACTAACAACTCAGACACTTGACTTGATAAGGTCTCCGAGGCAATGTTGAAAGGACTATCTCTCACAGGTACAAGGATCCAATAACCGTCCAATAACTGCTATAAAGAAAACAGCATGGAAAGCCAAAGCAGGCATCCTCTTCCAAAGCTGAGCACCTGATAGGACAAATTTGAGGGCTGAGGAACTAGGACATGTTTGAAAATGCTGAGTCATGGAGTGTGTTTTACCTGTCCAGGAATCTGGCCCACCCTGCTATGAGATCCTGACCATTTCCCCTAGGTATTGCCTGGCAGAGATGCTTGCTTGTTTTTCTCCAGGTCCTCATCCACACTCATTCACAGACTCTAGAAAGACAATCATAGACAGAGCTTTGTCTTAGCAGATGGTGAAGCAGGGTTCTGCTCTAGTAGGAAATGGATTACTGAGGAGGTAGAAGGACTTGCTCGATGGACATGCTTATGACACCAGGTTCTGGAAAGAATAGAAATAGAAACCCTGGATGTGTGGGCACTGGAGCACTCTCTCTTAATTTAAATCTATGTCCTGACAAGACAAGGTTATTGGAACAATCCAGTACCAGGATGGTTTCTTCATTCCTTGGCAAAATAATGATCTGCAATAAATTGAGTCCAAGTGCTTGAATCTTCCTGGCGTATCATTAAGGGAGGAAGCAGAAAGGCTTGGAACATGGAAATAAGAGAAGAGGTTCTTTCCTTTTCCCCACTATTTATGACAGATCTCTCAAAGTGCTCAAAGTAATAGAGGCAAATGCAATTTAAATAATGAAAATCTGTACAAAATGCATAGAGATACAGTTATGCCAAAACAAGCTCCATCAAGGTCTTTGTGTCACTGCCATTAAATATCAGGTACTGATAAATAAGGCAAAGTTGATCTTTGAACACCGGGGGCTAAATTTTAAGACATTTTTCATTGTGATACATCATATAGAAGGTTTATCATTTTACCCACTTAAAGTGTGTAGTTTATTGTCATTAAGTATATATCCATTGTTGAACAACAGTCACCACCATCCATCAGTCTTGGGAATTTTCTCATCAGCCCAAACATCCCCAGTCCCTGCTGACTCCACACAACAGCACATTTTATTTTACTTTGTGTTCCTATGAATTTTGTAGAATTCCATAGAATTATGTAGTATGTATTCCATAGAATTATTAAATATCTTTTATTTGTGTTTTCAAGTATTTCTTTTGTGGCATATATTGGAATTTCATTTCCTTTAAAATATGAATAATAGGACTAGAGAGATAGCTCAGGTGTTAAAGGCTAAATACTTAACAACCAAAACTTCAAACATATAAATAGTAGCTGGGCATTAAAGTCCTGCAAGTTCAGGACTTTAAGGCTGAGACACACACATTTGCACACACAGAAAACCAATAAAAGTAAAATGAGAAACCATAATATAAGCAAAAACTTTATAAAGTTAAAAATAAAAGCCCCCAAACCTCCAAAAGTTCCACTGAGTTCAGTTTGTTTTGGCCATTTACTGTGTGCACAGGCCTGCCCTTAAGTGTGGTTTTTGTAAACAGTGTGACTCAGCTGGAGAAGGCTAAGTTTTCCTTTTTGAGTGGTACTCTTCCGGCTTAGGGATGAGACTTGTGTCCACTTCCCCTGTTAGCACTGACTGACCCCTGTGCAGACCCCCTGGGTATTTTGAATGGAATGGTGGCCTTGTTCTTCTGGGACTTAAAAGGCTCAGTGTAGTGGGGAGGAATGTTTAGTCAGGGAGAGCTGTTATAGAGGTGCACAGACTGAGGAAGGGTGGTGACAGTGGAAACTGTGAAGGGTGGTGGAATTCTGGACCTATTTGGAACACAGAGCCAGGGGCCTCTAATCTGTTGGTGGGAGAAATGGAAGAAGGAACAGTAAAGGAAGACTCCAAGCATGAGACTGTATGGCGCTTTCCTTGAGGATCTTTTATGTTTGGAAGAATACAGTGTCTTATGAAGAGAGTGAGAGCTGAAGTGGAGAGCTGAGTTCTGGGGATACTCATTTTATTTGTGCAGCAGATGTCAATCACAGTTGTCAGTCCTCAGCAGTGAACATCTACAAATGATGACACCTTCCCTTCCCTCGGGGGCTGTGTTCCCTGAGTGGTACTGGGTTCTGCTTTCTACACATGCTCACTGCTAGCCTGTCCATCAGCCTTCTGATCTTGACCCTAGGAAACACTCTTCTTTCTTCATTCTCCAGTTACTTCTGAAGTCCAGCCTCCTTTTGGCATCTGGGACCTCCCCTCCCCTTCCCTACCTTCCCCTTGCTTCCCTCCTATTCTCTTTCTTCTTTCGCTTTTCTTTTTTCTCTTCCCCCCTCTTCCTGTATCTCTCTTTCCTTCCCTCCCTTCCTTCCTTCCTTCCTTCCTTCCTTCCTTCCTTCCTTCCTTCTTTCTTTTTTCAAGACAGGGTTTCCTGTATAGCCCTGCCTGTCCTGGAACTCTGTAGACACAGGCTAACCTCAAACTCAGAGATCCACTTGGTTCTGTGTCTGAGTGAGTGCTGGGATTAAAGGCATGGACCACCAATGTCCAGCTCAGATAACCTTTCTTACACCTCTCAGGACTATCTGCCCAGGGGTGACACCTTCTACAATGGACTGGGCCCTTCCACAGCAGTCATTAATCAAGAAAACGCCTCCTTACCTGCTTACAGACCAATTTAAGGTTCCTCCTTTCAACCAACTCTAGTTTGTGCCAAGTTGACAAAAACAAAACAAAACAACAACAACAACAACAAAACAACCAGCATACTTAAGAAAAAATATACATATTTTAGCTAGTGTCTCAACATGCAGCCGAGGCTGGCCTTGAACTCATTATCTTTCTATCCAAGTCTCATGAATGCTGGGATTATAGGTGTGTCTCCCAACAACCAGGTACAATTTATTACTTTAATGAGTAAAAAAAAATCCTCCAACTTTTCTATTCCTTTTGGAATAAAGCAGGATTTTTAAGTCTGGGTACATAAACTGCTTAGCACAATGGCCATGGATTTAACACCCAGCACCACAGACAGTAAAATAAATTTTTCGTTATTTATAAGGTTATTTCTCAGCCGCAAAATTTCTATGTTCCTCGGGATGATCAGCCACGTGTCTCCTGAAGGTCGTGTCTTGTCTCCCTGCCTCGTTCAGCCTCGGGAAAGATGTATCAGAAGGCACACAATGCTCTTTGTGTCTGCATTGGGACGTGGCATACAGGAAGTAAATTCGGGCAAATAAATGCAGTATTAATGGGTCCCCCAGCATTTGCATACCACATCGTCCCAAGGCCAGTGCCACAGTGGTCTTGTTAACAAAACAAAACAAAACAAAACAACAACAAAAACAAAAGCAGACCACTTCAAGCTGGGCAGGGCATGCGTTTAGTTCCAGCACTCAGGAGGCAGAGTCAGGCGATCTCCGTGTTCAAGGCCAGCCTGGTCTATAGAGTGAGACCACTACCACCACCACCACCGAAAACCGTACTACTTCAGATGCTGGTTTCTTTCTACTAGCCAAGGCTGTGTTAAATCATAGCTGTTGTGATTTGAATGCGTACAATAATAGTATTTGGAAGAGGGCACCCCTATCCTTTGAGAAGGGGCCGAATCTCCTTAGTGAGGGCTGAGTTAGTCACCAAAGTATTCAAGTCCCAATACTAGCGGCAACAGGAACTTGGGACAAACACGGGGGTCTAAGTCACTGAGACCACAACAAACCCCTGCTGGGGGCCTTGGGTATTCATGTAACTGGAAATTGACTTTATGCTTCAGTCCTCATAGAGAGCAGTCTCTTGTGACTTAAGAAAAGGACACCAGGAGCTTTCCCTTCAAGAGGGGCTTTTAACAGAGAACTTTTCAGAATTTCCAGGACCTGCTGCGTTTCAGAGCCAGCTGCACTGAGGGGAGGTCCGAAGTGTTTGGAAGCTGCGACCGACCGCTAGCTTTTAAACACCGCATCCATGAAAACCTGGATCCCGGATCTCGCGGGCTACTGCGGAGGGATGAACCCGGAGCTGCGCCTGCCATTCCATCGAGCCTTCTCCGGGTCTCCGCGAGAGCTACGGCGCGTAAATAGAAAGTGAGGGCTTTAGGGAGAAGGTAGAGCGTCTTGCATCCCCTGAGGCTGTTCGAAGTACAGTAATGGGGAACTTGTTTTGGTGCCCAGACGCCTAAGGTGAGTTTTCTGCGGCGGGTGAAGGCTAGGGCGCCAGCTAGAGCTAGCTGAAGGACAACGCTGCTCTGTGCGGAAGCCGAGAGTAAGAGAGGACAGTTTGCTGGGCCCTGGTAAAGCACCCGCGTCTAGTGCCTAGAAACCCTGGCCACTGCTTTCCGGAGCCAGAAACTGGGGCGCAATCCCGATCTGGTTGCTGAGAGCACAGCTGGGAGCAGGTGACCCCCGAGCCTTTGGATGGGTTGCAGGAAAGAAGAGCGTGGTATCCCGAGGGTATGATTTAGCCGGGGCTGAAACCTTCTGCAGCTCAGTTTTCTTCCCAAGGCCTCCAGCAAAAGTCTCAGTGCCTGCATTCTTGAGAGCTGCTGCTGGCACCTGGGTTCTCTCTTAGAAACACTTGTTGATAGAACTTGTGCCCAGCGAGTAGCATTTTTTACTTTCCTGAAGTGGATACATTGTGCATTTAGTAAATACCTTTGGAAGAGCCGCCACAAGAGCAGGCTTTGAGTACCCTTACGCTAGTTACTTCTTAGGGTTTTTGTATCCAGCTAGGACGCTCAATATAAGACTTACTTCCTTAGAAACAGAGCTTGTGATTTTTAATGACATTTGATGTCCCCCCCCCATGATTCGTTAATTTCTAGCAAATCTTACACAAAATGATTTTTTTCTTGACACAACAGCTCCTACAGAGGACCTTCTAAGCACTGACATGCCCTGAAACAGCTGGCAGAATGGTTGATGAATGAAGGAAGTGACTTTGCGTTGTGCAATGCGTGCTGCGTGCAACCCGGATAGGTCCAATTTTGAATTCAGGACCTCCGTGTCTTCAAAGGTAGCCTTCCTTTTGCAGATGAGGCGCAGCACTCCTCACATGCTCAGGACCCTTCTTGGGCCTGCTGGAGATGTCACACCACAAACTAGAATCTTGCTTCTCTTTGCTCGGCCTTACTCTCAGGTGGAGTTCTTTCAGGGAGGGCCTGAATTGGTTTCTGCATTGAATAAGCGGCCCAGGTGTTTGCAAATCGAATACCTATATAGACAATGCCCTAGTCTCTCTGTTAGCTGTTTCTCAGACAGCTTTCCAAGACGTGTGTACTGCTCCGAGGCTGTGAGGTCTAAATCCCGGGACAAAAGGCTACCTGAGAAGCCTATCAAAGCTAAGCCTGGCCAGCCGCCATGTGTTCTCCCAGCATCCCTCAGTTCCTGCCTGTTACAGGTTCTACTTGGCTGGCAAACCCCGCCCCCTACCTTAAACTCCAGATGCTGGGCTGCTCTTCCCTATATAACTCAGACGTTTTGGCTATGGCTCATATTTTGCCATTTTGGCGTCTTGGTGTCCTGGCTCTCCCTTTTCTCTTCCCCCATCTTCTAACGAGGCCTGTTTCAGTCTGCCGGTCATGTCCACTCTGGACTTTTCCAGATGACCCTGCCTGGGTTTGTGCTCTCTCCCATATCTACTATATTATCCTTCATATCTATTACAAGCATTCATCTCCACTGTGCCTAGAAGTCATGTCCCTCTTTCTTTTTCATTCAACGGGCTGTATCCCTAGCACTCATTCTGGAGGTCAAAGCAAGAGAAGGTGATTTAGAGGCCAGCCTAGGCCTGTGGAGCCAGACACTGTCTTGGAAAAAAAAAAAAAAAAAACCTCAAAACAAAATAGAAAATCAAAACCTGTCTCTTGCCTCTAAGCCAAAGGCAATGCATCAAATGACCAATGAGGTGTTACAATTCTGAAATCATGATAACTCTTCTGCCGGCTTCCTGCTAGATGGCAGTGTCTAATAGCAAATCAAAGCCTCCATTGTCACTGCTTCTCTTGTGTTCTTCAAGGACAAAAATAAAGCAGTTTTCAAGCTTCTGCTTCTTCTTCTTCTTCTTCTTCTTCTTCTTCTTCTTCTTCTTCTTCTTCT